CCCCTGGGTTCAGTGGCTCTTGAATCTAAGGAGGTGCTAATTTAGCTTCTGTCTGAGGTTACACAGCAGGAACTACGAAGAGAGCTGCAGATTCCCCTTCCTTTTTTTTTTTGAGTTTGGAAGTGCCCTGATGAGGTTCAGCTGTGAAGCAATGCAAGCTGCTGTGGGGCCTTGGCCTTCTCTTGGAAGTTCTGGGTCTGTCTGGCCCGGCTACAGTTAGGTCATTACAGGTTGCAAATGGCCAGGTATTCATATGCAAAAGCCTCTTCTGCAGCCTGGGTGTGGCGGGGTCTCAAGGAATCCACGGGCGGAGCAACCAGCTCTGGTGGATCCTCAGCCCTGCCCTAAGGGGCCGCGCATCTCAGTGTCCGTGTTAGGGCTGCAAGCACCTCTGAGGGAAAGCCGCCCTCAAGCTCGCCTGCTGCCAGACAGTCCAGTTTCTCCCCGTATGAGTCCTGGGTCCACAGAGACTTCCTCTGCACTTTACTTCCGCAGCTCCTCTGGCTCTCAGTGTGCTTTTCTTTCCTTCTAGTTGTAGAATTTACACTCAGCCAGCCTTCCTGTAGTTCTGGATGATGTCCGTTTTGTGTTTTTGATGTATTTTTCAATTGTTGGGGGAGGCAGCAATTTCCCGGTGTTTATCTATGCCGCCATCTTAGTTTCTCCTAAGTGCTTCTCTTTACTTTGCAGAAGGATTTAAGTTCTTAAGGAATATATTTATAGTGAAAATGTATGAAGTGAAAGAAGTTTCCTAATTTACATAAGCACTGAAAGGTTCTTGTGATTAATATTTTTATAGATTCTCAAGTAGCTGATAGTTTTCTTATTTTTAATGTAAGCTGAAATCTATTAAAGTTTTTAATATATTTTTTGTAAAGTTAACACACAGTCAACTATTTTAAACTTTGATGTTTTTAAATAGTAAAAACTAAATTTTCCTCTTAACGCATTCACTCAAGTCTCCTTTCCTAGAAGACAACCAGTGTTAACAGTTTGGTGGGTATTCAGAATTTCTCCTGTATGTGTAAGCATACCCTTTCTCAACTTTTAAAAAAACTGTTTTGTGTCAGTGGAGATCTGCTTTATTTACTGTTGAAAATCTTACTGTTTTTCCATTGTTCCATTTCAGCTCATAGCATTTACCTTACTCTCTCTTTATCTGCCACATGTTTCCATTGAGTGGATATGTAATGGAAGCTTCTTACATACTTGAATTTTACATTATCATTTGTTGTAAAGCATAATTATCAAGCGGAAGTGTGGACTGGCATAGGGCTCCTTATTGAATCATGTTAGGCTAACTTTAATGGTAATGTTTTCAGACTCTTGATCCAAGGAGGGCTGTGGTTCCAGTAAGCATACCTGAAACCTTTTATTAAGATGAGATTTTGCCCTATCCAGCTTGACACAGTGCATAGAGTGTAGGCCTGTGGACTGAAGGGTCCCGGGTTCAATTCCTGGCAAGGGCATGTACCATAGGAGCAAGCTTACCCCCCGGTGAACCCCTCCCCGAGCTGCAGAGCAGGTTCAGGAGGCAACCAATGAATGTGTTTCTTACACATAGATACTTCTCTTTGTCTTTCCCACTCTCTTCCACTCTGTCTAAAAATCAGTGGAAAAATATCCTTGGATGAGGGTTAAAAAAAAAAAGATGAGATTTTGACTTGAGTTTAATGTGACTGAGTGGGTTCATGACTAATTAACTGGTCACAAATGATAGCTATTGAATAATTTTGTATAAGAGGCCAGTTTTATGAGTTTTGTGCTCTTTAGCAGCTGTAGATAAAGTTTGGCATCATGTTTAGAAAACTTATGTGTAAGAGAGTACGCTGAAAATTCCATCTACCTTTGTTCCTTAGTCATTTACTTCTCTTCCCTGAAGGAACTAATGTTACTAATTTGTAGTGAGTTCTTCAAGAAATTACTTTATGCATAGATAGGTACCCACACCTGCCAGCACCCACACACGTATGCATTCCAACATCCTTACATTCTATTTATTTTGCTTTATGAAATATTTTATTGGTAGTGTTTCCATATCAGTACAATATAGTAAGCATGACATCCTCATTTTTTTTATGGTTGCATATTACTCCATTCTATGGATATACCATAGTTTTTTTGTGGGGAGGGCTGGGCGTTTAAACCAGTGCCCTTTAGCCAAGATATTAGGTTACTTTCGTTAAGCTACTTCAGATAATTCCATTGCCAAAATCCTGACATCACAGAGATGTGTGCCATTACACTCCTCTGCTAATTAAGAAACTCATTAGAAATTAACCACAGTTACCCCAGCTATACTTATATGGTTACTTGTAGGATATTTCTAGTAAGTGATCATTGCCTATGACTGAGCATTTTCAGTGATGGACATTCACTACATTTCAAGATAGCCCTTTGCATTTTTGGATAATTTGGTTCTTGGTGTTTCCTTATATGGAGTAAAAATGTTTTTTAAGCTGCTACCCATTAATGTTTTTTCTCTTGATGATATTTAAAAAGTCTAACTCTTGTACAAGGTAATTTTCTTAATATTTTTTCATCATTCTTTCAGCTCTCTTTTTTTTTTCCTTTATTGATTAAGGTATTCCAAATGTGTCCTTATTCTCAGCTCTCCTTTTAGGATAGGGCTTGGTATCCATTTAATCTCTTGGTCATTCTAGTTTATCTCAATGTATCCCAAATTATCTACGCTCTTAGAAGTGTTCTGTTCAGTATGGCATTTCCAAGTATGGTTCTAGTGCTAAGCAAATCTCTGTTTTGGTGGTTCTGTTTCTGCAGGTAGAAAAGTTCTCTAAACACTCCATTTCCCAAAAATGCCATTTGAATGTGCTTTTAGCGGGAATTTCTCAGGAATGTTCTTTGCAGGCATCTTTTATAGATTATCTTAATTCCTAGGTTCTAGTCTAATTATTGGTTGGTTAAGTGTGTATCATCAAAAAAAGCATAATGTAATAAAAAGGACCATCTTACTATTCAGTATATGCGTATCACTAAATTAAACTTTTTGATGATAAAATTACCAGGTTCCAAGACCAAAGATTAAATTAATAAAAGGAGAAGGTGGACAAAATCTGCTGGAAACCATGGCTTTTGATCGTCTGAGCCAATCAGGTAATAGTGATGTTTAACTGGTTTTATTTTGAAAAGAAAAAAGGAAAATTCTCTGTTAAAATGCATCTTATGATATCTGTCTTTTTGGGAGAGAATTTGTTTTAATCATGTTTCTCTTTGTCATACTGGATTAGGGTAAGACAGTGGTTGGCAAACCACATGCGGCTCTTTAGCCTCTTGGGTGTGGCTCTTCCACAAAATACCATGTGCAAGTACTCATGTACAGTGCGATTGTAACTTCGTGGCCCATGCGCAGAAGTTGGTTTTCGGCCTGGGCGAGTCTATTTTGAAGAAGTGGCATTAGAAGAAGTGGGGGATGTCGGTCGGGCGGGCGGCGGGAGACGCAGCGCAGGGGAGTTACATTGTTTTGAGGTACGTTCGCTGAGGTCGACCCCTTCCAACTATCCCGTCCACACTCATCTATCTGAAACAAGTATACAAGACAAGTGTGGAGCATATAGGCCAGTGGATTGTTGACTAATGAGTTTGCTGACCACTGGGGTAAGAGATAAAGAATTAGAAGAAATGGTATATTTACCCTTGCCAATGTGGCTCAGTTGTTTTGAGTGTCATCCCATACACTGAAAGGTTTCTGGTTTGATTCCTGGTCAGGGCACATATGTAGGTTGGGGGTTTGATCCCATCACGACACATACACAAAGCAACTGATCAATGTTTCTATGTTACAGTGATGTTTCTCTCTCTCTCTTCTTTCCCCTTTCTCTAAAATCAACACATCCTTTGGTGAGGATTAAATAAGTAATTTTTTTAAAAAGTGTTATATTCTGAAATAGGAACAATTATTTGATATTGTGTGTTACCAGATGGAGAAACTTCTTAACCCCTCCTCATTCTAGCTGCTAGAGCCTCCATCTGAATATTTTATAAAATAGTTTTTATACTAAGGATAATTACTGATTTGCCAGCCATTTATTAGTTGCTTGCAAGACTGCTATGGGGGCTAAAGATGAAGAAGATACAGATCTCTCTCTTAAGGAACTGACAACATAGTAAGGAAGATAGAGGATTATATTCACTTTCTATTAGGCTCTTGGAATTTGTAGATTTATTCCCAGTTTTGACTATTTGTGATAGATCCTAAATGTTTATTATATGTTACCTGGTTTTGCTAAGGCAAAATCATTAAGTTATTCATGTAGCCAGAAGCTCAAGCAGTGAATTGAAGACTTTCTATAGGAAGCAGCTTTGATAGAAATTGCATGAACTTTGTAAAGAGGAAGATGTAGTATTAAATAAAAGTTTCTGTAAGCTTTGGTCTGTAGTTAGGCTATTGGTCTAAGTTTATAATGCTGTTCTAGCTGACAACCTACTTTTTTTTTGGTGGGAGGTAGACTTTTAGTTCTTAAAGAGTGACTTTCCACCTTTTTTATGTCTCCCTTCTACCTTTGCAGGGCTGTCATAGGTACCTTTGCAGGGTGTCACAGTTTTACTGTCTTTGATCTGGACATTTCTGAGCTTGTCTCTGCAAACTTTTGGAGAAATAATAGTTTGGTGATAACCAAACCTGACTGACGAGCAGAATTAACTACAAGGAGTATTTTTTGTTGTTGTTTTTAAACAGTTTAATTGAGATAAAATTAACATACTATATAATTTGCCCATTTTAAGTATACATTTTAGTTATTTTTCCATATGTTTATAGAGTTGTGCAAACTTTACCACAATTTAAGAACATTTCCATCATCTCACAAAGAAACCTTATACTCATAGCAGTCATGCCCCATTTCCCCCCTAGTCCTAGGTTACCAACCATGAATTTTTTGGTCTCTTTCTGGACATTTCTATATGGAAATTTCATATAAATTTAATCATATAATATGTGGTCTTTTGTGTCAGATTTTTTAAACTTAAAATAGTATTTCAGCGTTCATCCATGTTGTAGCATGTATTGGAACTTTATCCAAGGGGTGTTTTTGAAATAGATTACTCACCCCAAACCTGTGGAATCGGAATCTCTGAGAGTGGGTCCTGGAAATAAATAAAAAGCCTTTTAAAGGAGAATTCTGACCAGCCAATATTAGAAATGAGTGTATCAGATCAAAGAATTTGAGCTTGGCCCTGCTCTTCTATGGCCACTTTTAAATCCTACACTTTTCCATTTGAAATGTAAATATTTTTCGTATTTTTCACACACATTCTTGTCATTCTTTCCTTTTACTCTAACATGTAGACACAGATACTATTAATCCTGGAATCTATATTCATTTTTTTGTACAAGCACCCTTTTTGTTATCCACATGTGGTTGTTGGGTTGGATGGTTATGTCTCAGGTAATTGTTATTTCCTCTTGGTGAATGTGAATAAAACTATTGAGAGATATGAGTACAAACAATCTGTATACTTTGGATGATGGAACTAATTTGTTTTTCAGGGCACATGCTGCTAAACTTAAGTCGTGACAAGCAAGATTTTTTAAAAGAAGTTGTAGAATCCTTTGCCAATAAAAGTGGTCAGTCTGCATTGTATGATGCTCTGTTTTCTGGTCAGTCACCTAAGGATAGCTCTTTCCTTGGTAGTGATGATATTGGAAACATTGATGTGCAAGCACCGAAAATTGACGATTTGGCTAGATATGATGTTGGTAAGTTGTATCTTTTAAAGAAAACATTTTGAATCTTAATTTTTTTATATTAGGAGAAAAAGAAGCAGAAAGGGAAATAAATTGTCCATAATCATCTTACCCAGAGCAGCAGTCGCTAACCGGTGGTGCGCTGACCACTGGTGGTCTGTGAGGTCCAAAAGGCTGCTGACTGCTGGTTTAAGAAAACCTTTGGAGCAGTAGTCGCCAAATGGTGGTCTGCGGGGTCCGAAAGGTTGGCGACCACTGACCCAGAGATAATGAGTTAAGATTTTCCTGTATTCCTTTCAGGTGTTTTTTTGGGGGAGGAGTGGTGGTCGAGGTGTAAGAGGTTGGTAGTGGGTTGTGGTGGCATATGTCTTTCTTCTAAATAGTTGTTTATACTTCTACATATGATTTGTCTTTCAGCAATTCTCTCCCATCCTATCTACCTTTGTAAATATGATGGTTAATGGCAATATTATCCATTTCATGAATTAATCATAATTTGCTTGTTGCTTTTTATTGTTGGGTATTCAAGACATTTTCCAGTTTTTTTCACTATTAAAAATAAACTGTGGCCCTGGCTAGCGTCGTTCAGTTGGTTGGAGTGTTGTCCCGTACCCTAAAATGTTGAGGGTTTGATTGTGTCAAGGCACATACCCAGGTTGCCGGTTTGGTCCCTTGTTATGGGCACAAGCAGGAGGCAGTCGACTGATATTTCTCTCTCTCCCTTCTTCTCTCCCTCTTTACCTTCTCCCTCCCTTACTTCCTCTTTCTAAAATCAATTAAAAAAATCAATACTACTATGATGAAAAATAATATAAAATGTCTCCATTTCAAATTTTTCAATAGATTCATAAAAATAATTACTGAGACAAAGTTGATGAACATGTTTAAATCGCTTACAAATTGCCAGAAAGGCTGTACCTCTCTATGCATCCAGAAGCTCATAACTTCTTCAGTACTGAATGTCTTCTATGAGAAAAATTCTCTTCACTGTCCTAATGGATTAATGTTGTGGTAGCACATTGTTTTAATGACTCTTTACTGAAAGGCAAATCCATTGTTTCAAGATTTCTTAGTGGGTAGCTATTTATTTGGCCCTTGTCAGATTTTGTTTTATTGAGTTCTAGTGAGTCTTTTTTTTTCTTTTTTCATCAGATGGACTTGAAAAGAACTGTCTCTATTAACTTTTTAAAATTCCTAGACATAAGTGTGAATACCTTTAATAAGAACTTTAACGCCCAGCCTGGCTGGCGTTGTTCAGTGGTTGAGCATTGACCTGTGAACCAGGAGGTCATGGTTTGATTCCTGGTCAGGGCACATACCCGGGTTGCAGGCTAAATCCCCAGTAGGGGGCGTGCAGGAGACAGCTGATCAATGATTCTCATTAATGATGTTTCTATCTCTCTCCCCATTCTCTTCCTCTGAAATCAATAAAAAATATGATCTAGATTCACTCCTTTTTCCATGGGCGTGAAAAACGAGAACACTCGTGAGCAGTCCTTAACAGATGGCGCGAGAAACACGAGAAAACTCCTGAGCGGCACAAAATGTGTTAAAAGAAAAAAAGAAAAAGCCCTAGCTGGTTTGGCTCAGTGGATAGAGTGTTGGCCTGCAGGCCAAAGGGTCCCGGGTTGGATTCCAGTCAAAGGCACGTACCTTGGTTGCAGGGCTCCTCCCTGGCCCGGGCCCTGGTCAGGGCTCGGTCAGGAGGCAACCAATCGGTGTGTTTCTTTCACATTGAGGTTTCTCTCTGCTTTTCCCTCTTTCTCTCACTCTCCCTAACATCAATGGGAAAATATCCTTAGATAAGGGTTAACAAAAACAAAAAGAACATAAGACTTTGCTTGTCATAGACTTTTCCCAGCTCTGATAGAGAAAATTAAGATATATTTAATGTGAGTCAGTTGTTGGCAAAACTGATGTCATATAAGAAGTTTTCAAAGCCATTTTTCCCCCCTCTCCCCCTTTATTTCAGGTGCCATCCGAGCACATAATGGCAGCCTTCAGCACCTTACCTGGCTTGGTTTACAGTGGAATTTGTTGCCTACCTTACCTGCAATTCGAAAATGGCTGAAACAGCTTTTTCATCATTTGCCTCAGGAAACCTCAAGACTTGAAACAAATGCACCTGAGTCAATATGTATTTTAGATCTTGAAGTAAGCAAAGATTTTAGCAAATTAAATATTTTGAGCTTTAACAATTTTTTTTCTAACTTAAATTGTTTTTCTTTAAATAAAACAGGTATTTCTACTTGGGGTAATATATAACAGCCAGTTACAATTAAAGGAAAAATGTAGTTCTCATTACAACTTCTATCAGCCACTATGCTTGCCATTTCCTGTGTGTAAACAACTTTATACAGAGAGACAAAAATCTTGGTGGGATGCAGTTTGTAATCTAATTCACAGAAAAGCAATGTAAGTAGTAAAACAAAAACATTTCTTTAACTTACTGCATGGGTTTATTATTTAAAGACCCATTTAATTTAAAAACTTATTCCCTAGGTATTTAATTTAATGTAGTGTGATGATTAACAAACACATGTGTTGGAATGCATGTTTATAAATCAACTTTATTAAATAAAAATATTTTTTCAGCCCTGGAACCTCAGCAAAGTTGCGACTTCTAGTTCAGCGCGATATAAATGCTCTAAGGGGCCAGGAAAAACATGGCCTTCAACCTGCTCTCCTTATACATTGGGCCACATACCTTCAGAAAACGGTGAGTTTATTAAAATATAAATATTTTTAAAAACATATATTTTTTTAAGTCATAAACTTTTTGTTGAAAGTCATTCAGTTCTAAGACAGATATGTTAGGAGAAATTTATTTTTTTAATCTTGCTACATAGTTGTTAATATATAAGCACTTTGAACGGTGGTCTGACATAATAAATGTTACGTAAGTATTATCTGTTGTTATGACTACTTAATAATTAAGTTATAATTTGTCCAGCCGGAAATTTTTTTACATTCAGTAGCACATGGCTTTGTTGGAAAGAGCATTTATAGGTCTTTGTAAATAGTTTTGGTCTGTTCTGTGACAAGATGTTTAGCCCTTTGACTAAACTGTCACACAAAGTAGCAGATTTTGGCTATCCAAAAGTGGCCATTTTATTTTTCTATTTTTTACTTTTTAAAATATATTTTATTGATATTTTACAAAGAGGATGGGAGATTGAAAGAGAGTTAGAAACACTGATGAGAGAGAAACATCAATCAGCTGCCTCCTGCACACCTCCTACTGGGGATGTGCCTGCAACCAAGGTACATGCCCTTGACCAGAATCAAACCTGGGACCTTTTAATCCGCAGGCTGACCCTTTATCCACTGAACCAAACCGATTAGGGCAAAAGTGGCAATTTTAAAAAATGGATTGGGCTGCCTCATTAGGCTAGTGTCATTGGAAATGTTTAATAGTTGAGTCTAGCCATGCAGTTGTGGCTAGTCAGGCAGTTGTGGCTTAATGGTTGAGTGTCAACCTATGAACCAAGAGGTCATGGTTGTATTCCCAGTAAAGGCACATGCCTGGCTTGCTTGCTTGATCTCCCAGGTGGGAGGCCTGAAGGAGGCAGCCGATCAATGATTCTCTCTCATCATTGATGTTTCTATCTCTACCTTTCTCTTCTTCTCTGAAATCAATGAAAAAATATATATTAAAAGAAAAAAAGGGAAGTGTTCAACAATTGATTCTGGAATGACCACTGGTATTAGGTAGGTAGTTATTCTCCTATTGGAGAATTGAGGATATGACTTGAGACTCTGTTTTGCTTTGATTTGAAATTTAAACAGTTTCTCAATCATTTATAAATGCATTTTTAGGTCTGATCATTTGTATTCCTTAGGTTGTGTGCTCCTAACTTTCTATTTTATTTTAGGGCAGCGATCTTAATTCTTTTTATGATCAGCGGGAATACATAGGCAGAAGTGTTCATTATTGGAAGAAGGTTTTGCCATTATTGAAGATGATCAAAAAGAAGATTAGTATTCCTGAACCTACTGACCCTCTGTTTAAACACTTTCATAGTGCAGACATCCAGGTAATGGAGGGTCCCTTGGTTAATTAACAGGGGATGTGGATTTCCAGTATGTAAACAAATAAATGGAGGCATAAACTGCTTAAATTAATTGCCTGACTATTTAATAGTAGTCTTGCTTTCTAAATGCACTAGTTGTTACAAATAAAATATGGCACAAAAGAATACTGAGTTATTAATCACACTAGAACATACAATATCTTTGGGAAATCATTTGAGTTTGATATTCTGGGTTGAGGCAATGTGACTAAAAATTACTAAATGTCTCTAGGCATCTGAAATTGGTGAATATGAAGAAGAAGCACACATAACATTTGCTATATTGGATGCAGTTAATGGAAATATAGAAGATGCTATGACTGCTTTTGAATCTATAAAAAATGTTGTTTCTTATTGGAATCTTGCATTGGTAAGTAGAAGTACATGAATTAAAAGTGTTTGTTTTGAAAACCTAATTGGTACTTGCTTTGGGAGCACATACATTAAAATTGGAATGATACAGAGAAGATTAGCACGGCCCACTGCAAAGGTGACATGCACATTTGTGAAGCGTCCCATATTTAAAAAAACAACAAATAGTAAAACCCAATTGTTTCATAAAAGCATTCTTTGTATAGATTTTTCACAGAAAAGCAGAAGACATTGAAAATGAGGCCCATTCTCCTGAAGAACAAGAAGAATGCAAAAATTATCTGAGAAAGACCCGGGACTACCTAATGAAGATTTTAGATGACAGTGATTCAAATCTTTCAGTAGTTAAGAAAGTAAGTTGCAGGTTTTTTGTTCTTTCTTATTGACAACTGGTTGATAAATATTTTTGCTTTGGTATTATAATTTGGTCATTTCAAAAATGCTCAGTAATAACTCATAATGCACAGAAGGGGGGTATGTGTTTAAATATTTGAATAGCATTGCTTTGTCAGGTTTGGAGTTTCTTTTTTAAAATTGAGAGTCTAGGTTTATACTGTTACAAAAATACTTGTTGGGGAATGCCGGGAGCCGGTCCATCCTTGCTGTTTCAAGGGACCTGGCATATATGGCATACTGTTCTTAATATGTTTGCTCACCTTCTTGGCACTGTGTTTTAACCAAGGTCACCTCTCCGAGAAAGGTTGTTTCCCCAGGTAGGGATTTTCCCCTGAAGTTAGGGAGGGAATAAAACCTCTTAACTAAGTGCCAGGCGGGTAATTAATCACTTTAACTACCAACAATCATGCTTAAGCTACATAATCTTTACTCCCTAGAATGGAGATAGGAAACGCAATAACCTTTGGAATAGAGATTGGTAGGATTGGAATCAACTGGTATAAATACAGATGTAACAAGACAACAGGACACAGAACTTAGATGAAGATCCTAGAGACAGAACTCAGAAGACAGAACCTACACAGAGCCTAGAGACAGAAGAACTTCGCTGGAGAGAACATGGCAAAAGATCCTGGACAGAACCTGGCGACCGAACCTGGCTGGAGAACCTAAACCAAACCTGGCTGGAGAACCTAGCGAGAGAACATGGCTACAGAACCTGGCTGGAGAACCTGGAGAACGTGGCTGGAGAACCTAGAAAGAAAACATGGACACAGAACGTGGCTGGAGATTGTGGCTAGAGATCCTGGCAAGGCTGCTGATCAAGTGAACGCTGTCTCTGTGTCATTTCTTCTTCGCCGACTCAGTCCACACCTTTGGGGACCCCTGGACCCGCTGGGGCTGGACCCCAGCAGGGGATTTAGAAAAGTTTTCGAAGACAAGACTTTTTTTTAAAAGAATGTATTGCTATCTAAGACTAATTCTTAAGGATTGGACAATTAAAAAATTTTTGCTGAAATCAACAGTGGAAAGCTGACAACTTCAGAGCATTTCTTCTCATCTTCATCTTTTTTCTAACTTTCAGCAGTTTGAGATTGTCATGATGGTGTTAATGTCAGTTATATTCAGCTTTACAAATATTTCATTGATTAATTTGTGTTGCTGTTGTCAGATTAAGATTTATGTTGTCTGGTGCATTCTCGTATCTATATTTTTCTTCCCATTCAAAATCAATTAGTAAACATATTTTGCTCTCATTGAAAAATTTCCTAGCCCTGGCTGGTTTCGCTCAGTGGATAGAGCATCGGTCTCTGGACTGAGAGTCTTGGGTTCGATTGCTGATCAAGGACACATACCTGGGTGTCAGGCTCAATCCCCAGTAGGAGGTGTGCAGGAGGCAGCCGATCAATGATTTTCATCATTGATTTTCTATCTCTCTCTCCCTCTCCCTTCCTCTCTGCAATCAACAAAAATATATTTTAAAATAAGTAAATAAATAAGTAAATAAATAAAAACTGTGGGTAAATTCATTGGAGAAAGGACTGACTCTAAGTTCAGGGCAGGAAAAGTAAATAATGTGCCTGATAAACTTATGCTAAAAATCAAGGAAGAGTTCAAAAATAATGAGGATAATTTTATTTTACCTTGCATAGTTTCTATTGAGAAATTAGCTGACAATTGTATAGGTACTCCTATGTAGGCAACTAACTGTTTTTCTCTTACTGCTTTTAAGATTCTCTGTCTTTTGCCCTGGCCATTTTAATTATGATGTGTCTTGGTGTGGTCCTCTTTGGATTCGTCTTGATTGGGGTTCTCTGCGCTTCCTGGACTTGTAAGTCTATTTCTTTCACCAGGTGTAGGGGAAGTTTTCTGTCATTATTTCTTCAAATAGATTTTCAATATCTTGCTCTCTCTCTTCTTCTAACACCCCCATAATTCGGATGTTGGTATGCTTGAAGTTGTCCCAGAGGCTCCTTACACTGTCTTCGTATTTTTGGATTCTTTTTTCCTTTTGCTTTTCCGGTTGGGTGTTTTTTGCTTCTTCGTATTTCAAATCTTTGACTTGATTCTTGCAATCCTCTAGTCTGCTATTGGATTTCTGTTTAATATTCATTATTTCAGTCAGTGTATGCTTAATTTCTAGTTGGTCCTTTTTCATATCCTCAAGGGTCTCACTAGATTTATAGAGGATCTCGCTGAATTTATCAGCGGTGTTTAGAAAATTCTTGAAAAACCTTATAACCATGGTTTTGAACTCTATATCCAGTAGTTTGCTTTCTTCCATTTCTTTCATTTGTGACCTGTTTCTTTAACCGTGGTTTTGAACTCTATATCCAGAAGTTTGCTTTCCTCCATTTCTGTCATTTGTGACCTGTTTCTTTGTCTCCGCATTTTGGCTGCTTCCCTGTGTTGGTAGAGTGGCTTTCTGTGCTAGGTTTCTTATAGGGCCAAGTGGCTCAGTCTCCCCAGCTACCTGAGGTGGACACTCTTGGTGCACCCCTTTGTGGGCTGTGTGCACAGTCTTGTTGTAGTTAAGCCTTGATTGTTGTAGGTATCACTGGGAGGAATCGACCTCCAGGCCAGTTGGCTGTGAGAATCAGCTGTGTCTGCAGTGGGAGAACTTCTGTGGTGGAGACATCCTTCTGGGGCAAAACTGCTTCAGTGGGGCTTTGGTGCTCACTGAGTCTGCCCCCTGAGTGTGTCCCTTATGGATCTGAGGAGTTGTAATCTGGATGGTCCCACTCTGACCACTGTTTACAATGGCTCTTGGATCTCTAAGGAGGTGCTAATTTAGCCTGTGCCTGAGGCTGCCCAGCAGGAGCTATGGAGAGATCTGCAGATTCCTCTTCCTTGTTTGAGGTTTGGAGGTGCCCTGATGAGGCCCAGCTGTGAAGCAGTGCAAGCTTCTGTGGAGGCTTGGGCCTTCTTTTGGATGTTCTTGGTCTCTCTGACCCAGCTGCAGTTTGTTAGGTAATTTTAGATTGCAAAGGGCCAGGCCATTCATAGGCAAAAGCCTCTGCTCACATCTTGGGTGGGGCAGGATTTCAGGGAATCAACAGGGTGGAGCAAACAGCTATGGCTGGTCCTCAGCCCTGTCCTAAGAGGCCCTAGTGTCTCAGTGTCCTGTCTCAGTGTCCTGTGGTAATTGCTGCAAGCACCTCTGAGAGAAAGCCGCCCTCAAGTTCCGCCCACTGCCAGACAGTCCAGTTTCTCCCCATATGAGTCTGGGTCCCCAGAGACTCACCTGGAACTGGAGTTCAGAGCAGTCAGAGTTTGAGACTCCC